CCAGATCATGTCAAGGTCACATCGATTTTTTAAAATAGAACACCCTATTTTTTTATTCCAGAATGTAATAGTCGGTGTCAAGAGCTTCTCAAAACACTATAATAAAGTTCATTTTCATTAAGTACCTTTCGAGTTATGAAGTTTGAAAGTTACAGTACCGACAGTAACATTATCCGAGATATCCGCGACTGATGATTAAAACCTCTTGAATGTTTCTCAAAGTCATGACCTTGATAACATTTGTTAAGCTCTGAATTGAATGACATGGATGAGAATCGCTTATTCCTGTTGATAAACGTTACTTAGGAAATACTATTGGTTTACTATATTCATCTTATTATATTCATCTAAGATATTTATTTCGAATTTCGTGTTATAGATATAAATATATAAGATATATCGACACAAAAAATGTTAACAGCTGTGTAACACTATCATAGAAACATATTCTGTAATATATAGATATCTATAACGTTACGTCCATGCAATAGAAAGTTTCAAATTATAATTAGATTATCAGATACGTCTGTATATTAAGTTAAGATATTCTCGCCTTTGATTTTTCTATTAATTGATTATATTCCTATTAATTAATTAATATCAGGCAATTGTGTGTTTAGTGCCACTATCGTGAATACAGATCAAGAAAATTTTTAACTTAGTTAAAGTTCTGGCTTTAATAAAGGATATTAATAACATATATATGTATATATATATATGTATATGTCATCGGTCTCAAGGAAAAATTTATTAACATTCGGTAGGCGACGAGATAAACCGACTTGAGAGTTTGGCTACTAATAAATGATATTCGGTTTTCGAATCTTGATTTAATTATTTCTTCCTTTTCCTTTGATGCAATTTATTTCAATTGTCTTATCTTTTATTAATTTGACTTAATAAGAATTAATATACACCTCCCAAGATTGAGAGAGATTGGCACATTGAATACAAAACAATCAGTCATTATTTTACAAAAATCGAGATTTGTCCTTAAGGCCAATGACGTAAGCCAATGACTGACTAATATAAGTATCTTTATTGCGCGCAGCATGATTCTCCCTTAGAAGCGCTACGAGTTTCGTGCACGAGGAATCCGCTCTCCGCCGACCTCGTCAATGAATGTTCTGTATTTTTTTCAGGTGGTAGCCAGTCGGTGGCCAGTTACGAAGATCTGAGCTCCAGCAGTTTCAGTTCTGCAAGTAGGGCATCCCTGGACGCGAGGAGTTCACCGACACCGTCGTACGGAGCTGAGAACATGATGGTATTTCCCGGTGATAGTAGTGGCTCCATTTGAGATTATTTGAGATGCGCAGCCATGCTGCCCAAGTGGCTGCGCTGCCTCAGGTAAAGAAAGAGCAAGGGCAGGCAGAAGAGGATGAAGAAGAAAGAGGAAAAATTCTTCTTAGAAGAAGCCTTGCTCGAACAAGGAAGACCGAATTCGCTGTGCCGTGCCATCACTTAGTTTTGTCTTTTTAAGCCCGTCAACCACACAAAACTCTGTTTTTCTAAAGTTTCATTGATATGGAATACATCACACAGTGAGACGGACGAGAGACACAAAGTGCATCAGCGGAATGGATAAATAAAATGAGGATAATTCGCGCGTATGTGTGTATGAGGACAATGAGAGAGATGTTAATAACAAGGAGTGTAATGTTGAAAGGATAGATGATAAAAGAAAGGGTCTCCAACCACACATGTGAGTTGGTCGTGATTTTTTTATGAAGCGCGTGTAAATGTACAGAAAAATGCGTTTTTCTTTCCATAAATTACACAGCGTTTCGTTATCTTATTTCCTCTTGTTGCATCTTTACCTACTCCGTTCGCTTATTCTTGCCCGCGATCGCACGGAACACGTTGTTCTCTGATACAGTTCTCTAAAGTTCGTATCAGATTACGCATTGAAGATTAAAAATTACAAATTTGAGATTAGAATTCAATCAAAACGGATTAAAATTAAAATTATCTGATTAAATTTCATTCTTCAATTTTACAATCTCCAATGCGTAGGCGTAGTCTGATGCAGGTTTAAGAGAGGATCTCGTATAAAAGCTAGTGGGGTAGGAATGAGTGACTTTTGTTGCGAACTCATGCATCTCGAATCTTTTACAAGAAAAAAAAAAGGAGGATCCGCGCTTCGTGACAAAATTTCGTTTCTATATTCAATCGCGCTATATTAACGTCTAATTGTAAGAGACTATTTTGCGGTAAAGTTACAACGCTGATTATCAGTCCCTATATTTTTGTACCCAAATATGCAGTCTGCGTTTGTGATAATTGCATTTTGTACACATCTCTTTTCCCTCCTCGTGCAATTTGTCGGTGTGTAATGCTCGCGATTTGTTATTCGAATATAAGAATATTCTCGTGATTTTTTCGTGAATATTATTTGTTCCCGCTCGTGTTCTTTTCCAGCTAACGCTAAATATTCCTGAAATAGTCCTAAAATCCCAAAATGATATTCTAAGAATATTCCGGAATATCCCGACATTTTTAAAATGTAAGGCAACATTCAAATAATAATCGTCAAATTTCTATTCATACATCGTTACATATTAAGGACAATATTCGGAAAATATTCCATATTTTCTGCAAAATTGTAATTTTTAAAGAAATTTCAGGTCCGAATGTCCTTGAATTAATTTTTAAACGAAATTGTAGTATTAAAAATACAAAATTCGTTTAATTTCAATTGGATTCCAATTTGAATGTTTCATGAAATGCTGCGTTCTTTCTCACACAATTCGTATTTATGAGTTAATACATTTCCACCGCGGCCCTCTGTTGGCGGGGATGCGTACTGGTCGTGGATGAGTGATTATCGTGATATATACAAAAGTGTTCATAGAATATTTCGTACATTTTATTAACATTCGAACATTCTATGAAAATTCTTTTGCTGTTCCGAAATATTCGACATATTGGGTATATAATCGAACTTTTCATGAATAATTAGCTTTAGTTGGATTCATTGCATATCGATCATTTCAGACGATTTTCATGAAAGAATGGTTCTGTTGAAGTACATAAAAATTAAGTAATAATTAGGCTAGATAAAGATCTGAAAATAATTATGTTGGACCATCAGAATAATTATGTAGGACCCTCAAGCATAATAATGCTGTAAAATATTTTGACATTTTAGTAATCGACTTGAGCGTCCAATATAATTATTTAGATGGTCGAACATAATTCTTTTTACGTACTATATAACAAAATCATTCTTTCCGTGTACGATGCGTTTGCTCGACAAATATACAGATGCGCAACTGCGTGTAATAAATGGTAGCATTAATATTTCATCAGATTGATTAAAAATTTAATATTTCTGTAGAGAAAGAAAGTGAACGAAACAACTAATAATCGTTGATTCTTATTTTTCAATCCCGGAGAGAGAGAGAGAGAGAGAGAGAGAGAGAGAGAGAGAGAATTGAAATGAATGAATTCTAATTGAATATATTAGGTCTGTTTTTTTATTCCTGCACTAAACTGCACTATACCTATCTCGCTTTAAGTTCCAAAACACTAGTTCATGCCATAAAAAACAGACCCATTAAATGCAGTATTTGTTAGTCAATATAAAATAACGAAGCAAATATTTTTATAGTGTTTTTGCATTATTATTGAATGGAAAACACATCTGAGGGTGATTTAGTGTGAAGAATATCGCATATCGTGGACATTGAAACAAAAGTTTCTTCGAGTTGTTTTTATTTCATTATTCGCTCGCATTCGCGGGGTCTACAATAGAAGTCGTAGCGGTCGTAGGGTCTTAAGTCGTAGAAAATTGACCAATCACAGTCGATTATTCTTCTCATATTCGACTGTGATTGATCAATTTTCTACGACTTAAGACCCTACGATCGCTACAACTTCTATTGTAGACCCCGCATAAGCGATTGATCTCTCTGGCGTGTAATATCTCAGATCGAATGGCAGTTCTCGATAATTTAAAGTGTCAGCAGCGATGCAATATGGACAAGGTTAGTTTAATGGATATCTAAGTATAGATCCCGATAAAATCTTGCAAGAAACTTGCAGTAAACGTGTGTGATAAAGATAGTGTCTCAGAGTATCATGAAAACTTGGCAATTCAGATGTATATGTACATGTAAATAGATATTCTCTGTATCTCTCTCTCTCTCTCTCTCTCTCTCTCTCTCTCTCTCTCTCTCTCATATACATACATATATATACACACACACACAGAACGAAATCACGAAACAAGGATCTTTCCCTTGAACATTGATGAAATTTCGTCAAATTTCTTTCATCTTTTTCCACATTATATCAGTCTTTGTAGATTAAATTTCGTTTATCTTTCCGACTCTTTGTTAGAATTGCCATGTTAAAAGTTTACCGGATATTTTTTCTTTGGAATCAAAATTTAAACTGATAAACCGGATAGAAATGATAATCATAAAATTAAAGTAATGTGCACTTTAGGGGAATCCGATTACTTTGATCTTGACATATGTTGTCAAGGTCATGATTTTTAGTAACTCCTAACAGATTTTAGCCGGCGCTCGTTATTTGTTAAAAAATTAATAAGAAATAAAGTTGATAACACCAACGTTTCGTGAACTTTGCCGGTCGAGGAGCGCACTGATACTGAGCTGCTCCTCCGGAGGACTCCCTTTTTATAAACTCTGTTAAGAGGGGGATGTTTGGTGGGGCGTTAGCTTCGGGACAGGGTTCTTAGCTATTAATAGAAAAAGAAGAAACAAGAAGAAGAAGACTACGACCGTCGCAGTGCGACGGCAAGCGTTTTCTCAACTTTAAACTCAATTTTTTATGTATAATATTTCCGACATGTAATTTTAAGCACTCGAAATCCTCATCTTAAAAATTACAAGAAATGAATAATATTGATCTTACCTTCCACGAACACAACAAAAACAAGCCTTTTCGTAACATTCTTTTTAATAAAATAAAAAAAAAACTAGATATGCTATAATATAATGCAATATTTCAATAAAATATTATTTCTGTAATTAAATCGCAGAAGCTTATATTCTTTCTCATTATACGATTACGATTCATCAACATCATCATTTTCGTCTTCTATTTCTTCTATTAAATTTTCGTCTAAATCGGAGTCCAAAATTTCAGATGATGCATTTGTTAATTCTTCTGAATTTATATTCATGTCTGGTAAAGTAGTTTCCTCTGATGACGTCTAGAAAAATAATAAATTCATTTTCATTAGCAAAGTTTTGTTTCATTCAATACAATATGCAAAACAAAATAAATCAAAATCTAAAATGATAAAAACCTGCGAAAAAATTTCCTGGCCGTCTAAATTCTTATTGACAAGATTTCCCATCCAAAATGCTGTTGCACTATCGTTAAGGACCAACATTCCTTTGACACTATAAACTAATTTCTCTAATGTAGATTTCGCTATAGGCACATATTTAAACAATAGTAAATTCCTTTTTTCTGTGCAGTCGCAACATATGGCATGTAAGTATCGTGTACCACCTAAACATAACATCTATGGTGAATAAATTAGAAAACTAATCTTTTTACTTATTTTCTATTATTAGGAGCTGCGTTCGATTTGAATGCTCATGTACTGTAAACTTCATTCTATCTTTATCGTACACATGCAGAAAAAAATAGAATGAAACTTACAGCGTGTGAGCGTCCAAATGAAGCTAGAGTATTTTCTATTGTAGAATGTTTTATAATTCAAGATTTTAACTTAACTAAAAGATTTTTTGATAAATTTAGAAACAATTTTAACAAAAATATTCAGATTTTTTATGACTACAAAAAGATTGAAAACAAAAAGTTTTTTATGAATTAGATAAATAGATCAGCTAGATTGATTAAAATATATCTGCTACTTTAAATGCTTACAAGTAAAAGAACATAAAACTAATTTGAGCAAAAAACTTTGTTTATTTTAGGCCCCTTACGACTAATAATGAATTGTATATATTCAGAATGTTTACTGAAATCTTGCAAAAAAAATTCTCAAATTTTTTCGAAATATTTTTGCCCAAAATTCCAGGTAAGATTAAAGAATTTTTTTATACAACTTTGAAATAAATTGGAGTGTAAGCAATGCAAACAACTAGATACCGTAAATTAGTAGGAGATAAAGTACGTTGATTATTTTTTACGATTAGAGTAAATCGCGAAGAAGTATTGTGTAGTGTTCGATTCGCGTGCCTCGATTGAATTTTTGCTATAATAAGCAAAGAATTTCCAATAACGTTACAACTAACACTCTGGACGTAGAGAAAAAAAATAAAAATATTTTTAATATATTTTTCTAATTTTTCAAATATCTCTAAACAGTGTCAACAAAAAAATTGTATGGAACATTTTGATTCTTTAATAATCATTTTAGCTAAGTTCCATTATTAGCCGCAAGGAACTCAGAATTCATAAAGATTGGCAAGTTTCTTTATAACAATAAATTTTCTTTTACATTTTTATCGACAATGACGAAACATTGATTCCAAATTTGTCAAATAATCTATAATAATCTAAAATTAAATTATGTTATACGGAATTATTCTTGTCAATAAAAATAGTTATTCCTTACTTTGCATCATTTTTAGAATACTAGTTACATCGTCTGTTTGATATTTCAGATTATATTCAAGTATTGGCATACCAATATTTAGAAATTGTTTTATTAACATTGGCATGTAACGCAAAAATAGTTGTATGATAGTCTTTGTTTTCAAAGTTTTACAAATTTGCGCAAGTTTTTGAACATTTAAAGTAATATTGTGCCATATCTTTATTCTTTTTGGATCTCTAAAAAAAAGATTTGCTCAACAAATTTTAAAAGAATTTGTATGCGTATTCATACTCTAATAAATCCTTAAAAATAATTCTATATAAAACAATAATAGCATAATAATAGCATAAAATTCGTTCAACATTTTTTTTAATGAATTTGACTTCTACATTTTAAAGAAATAAAATAATACTTACGAGTTGACCGCTAATAACGATATATTTATACCTTTAATTAAACCGTCAAATAATTTTTTATATAACAAATGAAAAATATTTCTTTTCACAGAAGGTATTCTTGTTAAAGAGCTTTGAATATTTTCAAAATTGCTGACTTCATCTGGTAACCATTCTAAAACTGATGTTACTGTATCTAATGGCGACAGTTCATTATCTATCCAGTTATTTAATAACTGAATAACAAATAATCTATATTGAGAACCAGTATGCTTGTCTTCGGGCCACTCCAAGCAAAGAAATCCATATGCTAATTTTGCTAAAATCCATAATATAATTAAAAAATTTGCAAAATTTTCAATATTTATCAAATACTTATACCATTTACCATGTTTACTCTTATGCTCTTGGATATAAGTCTCAGAATGTTTCATTAATGATTGGCACATATTGACAAGAGCAGCAGCTAATGCTATTTCCGTAGCAATATCCATTAACGATTCAAAATATTTGTATGATTCTGCAACAAGTTCCTTACAAGACCGCAATGAAGTATTTTCCTCATTGACTTGTTTAGCCAAACTACGTAATCCCTCTGAAAAATCAATAAAATATGAGTAATATATATATATATATATATATA